GTTCGAAAGACACATATTAAATGTACCAACAATAGGTGTTAGAGAGGACATAAAGAGAGAGGAACCTTATTATAATGTTGGTGAGAAAGTGAAATGGTGCAGTCATTTTGAAAAGTTATCTTGCTTTACCTTAATAACTATTATATTTTATAATCCAGAAATCCCACTCTTGAGCACTATCCAAAGAACATGAAAACTTCATCTCAAAAAAGTATACACTTTGCAATATTTTTTATTGCAGCATTATTTACAAAAACTGGGGAAAAATGCCCACAGATAGAGAATTGGATCAAGAAGATGTGGTACATCCAAACAATGGAGTACTATTCAACCATCAGAAAAGATTGAAATGTGCCATTTACAGCAAATGGAAGTAGTTTGAGAGAAGTATGTGTAGTGGAACAAAAAAATATCAAATATTGGCTATTTACGAAGCAGACTATTTGACAAAGCAAAATATTGTTAAAAACTAGTGGACATAAAAAACCAGTAGTAAGATTTTCTGGGTAAAAAGGAGTAGGAAGGGAGAAAAGATTAAATTATCAAAAAAGGTCTAATGGATGATGGCAGGAATGGGGGGAAGGGGCTGCAGAATTCCTGAAGGGAAAGACAAAGGAAATTTTAATTAATAATTCATACATAAAAGGAAGACATTACCCTATTCCTAACTCTTGGGAATTTTTTGAGGTCAGTTATTATGCTTTGAGCAAAATCAAGGAATATGTTAAAGGGAAAATATTCCTCCACAACAGGATGGAGAAACATTATGAATCCCCATCAACACACTTTGAGACGCAACAAATTGCACAGCAAATTTTACCCAACTGGCTTAGGCTCCTTAATTTACTGCAAGGTAAATTCCATCTCTGAATTGTGAGACTACCATTATATTATACCACAAAAACAACAAGAGAATTAATTATGCCATAGGTAATTGCTAAGCATTACTCTAATTGCTTAACATATTGCTATGTATTACTTTTGTCATTTTCCTCAGCATGCATTCATCCCCCAGTCTCTCACAAATCTCAGAGTAAAGATATTTGCTTCAGGTATTCCCATCCTTAAACTTCTCTTTGGCATGCAAGAGAAAACTTTGTAGTTCTTTTGACTTTTGAAAGTGGCACTATAAGAAATGCTTGACTTTATGTTTCTGTTACTCATTATTTACTATTCGTCTTTTCTCTCTTTTTCTCCCCTCATATGTGTCTTTTAACATTCAATGTCCTAGAGAAGCTAGCTAAAATTCATATAAACATTTCATTCTCATTAGGGCAAATGATCTTTTAATGATAAAGAAGTTGCTTTGATGATTGCTGAAGATATCTATAGGGAATTCATAATAAATGAATGTAAGATGAGTTGGGTTTATTCTTTCAAAATAAGAGTAAACAGAGTGTAAAGTAACATGGTAACAAGTTTGAGATAAAAAGCAATTTAATTCTGAAATAGCTTAACACTTCCTAATAGGAGAGACATTTAAAGATTAATAAGAGCTGTAGAGGATAAATAGACATTGTGCAACTTTTCATTTTCTCTTCTCCTAGAAACTTACAGTGGGAAGACTGGAGGAAAAATAACTAAGGGTGAGAAACCTTAAGATGAATAACAAAGAATAGCTGAAAGAATTCATCTGGTGCCTGAGACTCTAAGAGCACTTTGTGAATTTTGAGGCAAAATTAATAGCTGCAAAGAGTTTCAGTTGAGTTAGTGTGAAATTAAGTATTTATGGAAGAATTAAGAGTAACAAAGATAAATTATAGTATAATTGCTAAGTTATTTACATTAACCTAAAAGGTGATGCTTTCTCCCAAGCATTATTTATTTATTTATTTATTTAATCTTTGGCCTAGGAAAGCTTGCAGAAAAGAGAACCAAAAATGCAGAAGAAAAGAAGCTCCTTTGACTTTTATTACATGGCCTAATACTCTAGGCTAGGCATTGCACAAGACATTTTTTCCTGGTAAGTAACTAATGTCTTTCAGCTCATAAGCCATTCTTCTCTCTGCATTTTGATGTTGAAGATAGGAACATTGGGGGCCTCCTTGGTGGCACAGGGGTTAAAGACAGCGCTATCAAGCTGTCACCAGGCACTGCAGCATGAGTGATTCCTGGCCAGGCAGGGAGGTGACCCAAGTGGTGCAGCAGACCTCTCCTGTCTAGCCCGTTGCTCCCCTCATCAGTGTATTTCAGTCAATCTGCCTGTTCTGCTCGCCACTCTGTCTCTGGTGAATCCTCTCACCCCCCTGCACCTCTGGCCTGCACCCCAGTTCTTGTATGCATAAATAAATCAATCTTTTAAAAAAACAGATAGGAACACTGGAGGAAGAGTTCTGGAATGAAGAAGACACTTGATTCTCTGTCCTCTTGCTCTTCCCAGAAATGTGGTTTCAGCAAAAATTTGTCCCAGTTTCCTTATTTTTTCTACTCTCTCCAAACTGCCTTACTTGTTAAAGGCACCAGATACACTTGGATAAAACCTTCCTTCAGAGAACTGAGCCCCCATGTGTGGTATCTTGGCCAGGCTTGTAGAATCTAATAGTTCCCCCTCTTCCCTCCAATGCTGGTTCTACAGGTGGACCATTGCCTGAAGTTAGGGTTTCTGTGTTATTATTTACATTCCCTTTTCATTATCTCAGTTAAACATACTTTATAACAACTCCTGACATTAAATTATGTCTGTTTGAAATGACTATAATTCTGTCTGTTTTCCTTGTTCATGTCTAAAGGATACCACCCTTCACATAAAACGTACCCATTTTACTTATTAAGTTTCTTGCACAATGTTTCAAAGCTAACAGGACACATAGCTAGAATATAAACCCAGATCCATAAATACAAATCTTTGCTGATTTCCAGGATGTAGGGAGAAAAACATGCAAGATGTGTGCTGCCAAATTTTAAGAATTTTCAGGAACAATTTAAGAAAAAAAAGAGTCTTCTAATCATCTCTTTCCTTATATACTTTTTTCCTCATTTTTTTTCTCTTTCAAATCTTCAGAACTGAGAGAAAAAAGATTGCTTTTTTTAAGAAGGCATGAATCCATAAGAGTGAAGATGAGCATATTATAAATACTAAGAAAAATATGTAAGTTACAAAGAAGGTGAACAAGAGGCAACAAACTAAGCAGAACAGAAAATAAATAAACAAGCAAACAAACAAACGTAAGTCTTCAACAGAGAAGTCTAAGGCAGAGTAGTCGTTGTCTCAAAACAGGAGAAAAGTTCAGAAATAACAGGGACCAGTATTGGCAGCCTGCTGCCTTAAAGGGAGCTGATGTTCTCTGAGAATACCTGTTTACTCTGCATATGGAGTTCCAGGAGGTTAGAAGTTCTGAAAACAGAACTTCTTCCCAGAACTGACTCCTGTTCTCTGAGGATGTACTGTCTTGTATGCATGTTCCCTACTAACCAGAAAAAACTTGTTTCAGCAGTAACTTATTAATTTATATAAGCATAAACACAATTGTGTGCTATTTTTTTTTGTTCCTTTGTTTATATCTTTAATAAAACCTTGGACTGGGAGAATGAAAGGAGGAGCTGCTCTCGATGGCATTCTCCCCAGCCTCACCCTGCTGCAAATTCATTTAGACTCAGAGTCTTCCTTAACAGCTGAGAACTTCATGGGCCATCTGTGGCAGACCAGGTTTCTGTAAAGATGGCACTGAAACAGCAGCATTTGTTGAAATTCTTATAATAGCATGAGATCTCCAAAATCCCTCTCCACAACTCAGGAGTTCTTCTCTACAAGCCAATGGAATGATCATGATTTCCATGGACACTAAGAGGATGATAGGCTGATATCATTGTGGGACTTATGGATGGTAGAGAATTGAGAATTTATAGGTAAAGCAAGTGATGGAAAGTGACTTATAAGGGGGATATAGGAGAGTGGATGGATCAAGATTTTGGAAGGAATGTAATTCAGAGAAAAAGACTTACTTTCTGTAAGCAAGATTTCTTGTCACATGTGAAGAAAGTAAAGATTGATGAAAATAATTAGTAAGAGTCATTGGGAGACACTATTTTTGATAACTTGCATCTCCTCTGCATGAGAAGACAAGGATGAACAAAAAAATGGGAGAGTAATATGTTTGAATTCACCCTACTGAGATCAAAATGGGGATGTCATTTCCCTTCCTGCATTTCAACAATATATTATTGTTATTTTAAATGAAGAATGATACCTTAATTTACAAAATATGGGCAAAAATTTGTGGCCCATGTGTTAAATTTAACCTGAAATTATATGATATTTTTAGAATTGGTGACCAACTTTTTGATATTAGTAAATTTTAATTATAAAAAATAATCCCATTTGAAAGCTTCTTCTGAAAACATTAGATAATCCTACAACACTGGACACACAGAGCCTCCCTGGTGGCACAAGGATTTAAGATGCAGCCTATGATGCTATCTGCAGCCACTAAAGCACGAGTTCAATCCCTGGCCAGGGAACTACCCATATGGCGCAGCAAACCATCCTGACTTGCTCCCCTCAGCAGTGTATTTCAGTCAATCTGCCTGTTTTCTGTTTCCTACTCTGTCTCTGGTGAATCATTTCACCCCCCCACCTCTTGCCTGTACCCCAGGTCTTGCGTGCATAAATAAATAAATATTTTTAAAAAATACTGGACACACATATCAGCTGAACGGTGGAAAACATCTATGTATGGGGTAGATATTTTGTAACCCTATTCACTAAATTTATGCTACCTTCCTGACTAGGTAGTCATTTCCTTTTGATATCCTTGATAAAGGATTTGTCTCTTGAGTATACCAAGTCACCTGTGTGAAATTGAAGCGTAATATCTATATTTTTCAGTAAAGAAGCTCAAGGCATCACAGAAACCCTATCTTATTACTCTTACCCATTGATTAAAAGCATCTGATGAAATGATGTGCTAGTTTTAAAATGACCCCTGTTTAGATGAATCATTCCAGTAAGTGTTACTGTACCTTCCAAGGAAATCAAAATCCATTGTCATAAACTCATCTGGCAAAGTAAAACCACTGTCCATCAGGAGCCTCCCCTGGTGGCTGTTAAAGATGAAGTTGTTTTGAAATGTCTGGCCCATCCAAAAATGTTTAATACACAGTAATTTATCAAATTCAAGCTTCTGGCATATGGTTTGTTTTGGTATAAATTGACTATGAAAGTGTCTTACTTATTTTATTTGTATAATTGTTATTGGAGTATCAGTTGATGTTCATTCCATTTCAAGAAGTAATTTTTGTATATAACTCAATAACTTGCAATTGATTTCCATTTAACTTTCCAATAAATATCAATACTTTGAGAATCATTAAGTATCTGTCATCAGAAGACAAGAGTCAATTGGAAAAGGCTCTAGATGTATTCTTGAAAATGTTTAGCTGGTAAAATTGCTTCACTCAAATGTGGTTAATAGCTGTTAGTTTAGAACTAAAACATTACTGTTAAGGAGCCTACATCAGGTTAACAACTCTTAACAGAAGAAATTTTTCCTAACATACAGCTGTCTTGGTCTCTTAAATGCAACAGATTTCTGACACATGGACCTAATTGGGGAGGGTCAATTTCTTTTCTGATGAAATTACTTCAGTCCTTGGAGGAAGCTCATAGGGTTTGGTTTGTTTGTGTAGTTTCTCTTCTCTTCTCTTCATAATTTCTCTGAAGTGATTTTTTTTTTCTAACTCTTTATCTTCACATTCTTTTGCTTCATGCAGTTCATCTAATTTCTTTTGGATCTCCAGTTCTTTCTGCCACTGTTACAAAGAAAAAGTGTCATTTACACATGGTTTTCCATTAAAAATATATCAATTAATTTCACACAATGTAGATTTCCTATAGCCAGATTTTTTCCATATATATTCTTCTGGAATTTATACTCTACTGGAAAAATATATGCCATCTATTAGAAAGTAAACAAGTTCCACAAAAAAGTACAAATCCCTCTTTAAAATTTTCATCAAAAGAAACCATTCAAAAAGAGACATAATAGGGTTTGCATTTCTACATACAAAAGGAATTTCTTTTCCTTGTCATTAATTGCATTTATATGACATAAAAGAATTATAAATACAAAACCAAGTTGAAAAATTAAATTGAAAGGTAAAATTTGTGGTACTCTAACATTTGAGGTTGAAAATAAGATTAATGAGCAGACAAAAGTTGATTTTGTATCAGATCAGCAAAAATTCTTCTAAGGGATTTATTGGGATTTATCATGATAATTTGTGACAATAGCAGCATATATGTATGTAAGAGCCCTAGGAATAAGTGAGTATAAACAATAATAGCAAATCAACCAAACATCATCATGAGGACCTTGTTTTTCATTCTAATAACTTTAATGATTAAAAAATGTAAATAGAGGTGAATATATTTCTTCAGGTTAGCTAAAAAGTTCAGGGCAAAATGACCCCTAGCTGAAATGTTGGACATTCCTAAAGACACTATTTACATGACTACTTTATCGCCTTCAGCCCATGTATGTACACCCAAATAGCTATATTTACCTCATCAGTTAACTTATAAATTCTTCAAGTTATATAAGTTAACTCATCAATTAACTTATAAGCTACTATATATCAATGCTGTGTTTTGTGACTGCTGATTTCCATCTGGAATATGTAGATATTCATAAGCAGAACTAGACCTCAAAGTGAATAACACATCAACTAACCCTCCAAAAGCAATATTTTTTAAATGTCAACTATTCAATACACATAATAAATATTAAACAAAAAATGTAAGAAAATCATATCTACTAGTTTTTGTTCCCAGTCAAATTTTAAAGACATAAGACATACAAAAGTTACTAGCACCAATCTTGAGCCTATTTCTACATACAGTAATTAATCATAGATGTTTCATTTCTCCAAAATTATTTATTTATGAAATATCTAGAAAATCAAGGCAAAGCATACAGAATATTCAAGCACAGCCTGAAATTCAAGCTTTGGTTAAATTCTATGATACCCATCTGTGGCATAATTTTTTCTCATATAATAAACATAATAATATTGTTTTACAAAATGGCCAATTTTACATTATAGCTTAAAATTTATAATAAATACAGAATCTATAAAGAATGACAATATACCTTATATGAGAAATTTCAATGTACCTCCTGACTATTTTCTTTACATTGTGGAAAAAAGATTAATTCTTAAAAACTCTCAGCATAATAAAATTCTCTAGTTTTATGAGGTACTCTACCACCAGTGTCCAGAAGGAACCTCTACCCCTTTACCTCATTGCTAGAATTTGGCATAGCTGGAATTCACCATAACATTATACTTCTTTTTTTTTTTTTAACCCAGGAATTTCACATTTTTGTCTGTTTCCTGTAACCAATTAAATATCAACCATTATCTTGATATTACATCTACGTTATTATTATCATTGCATTGCAGCTAGAAAGATGCAGACATGCTTGAAATCTATGTGATATTGAAGCACCATTTACTGTTTTATTTAATCCACTCACTCACCTTGTACCAGCAGTGAATAAGGTATCTCATTATCTGCTGAAGAATTGGATATCTGCTCTATTCCTTGATATTATGGTCACTCAATAAAATCCAACTGACTTAGCAGAACAATTAAACCTTGTAGCTGTATATTCTTATTTCTTGTTAACACTACAGATTTCACTTTCCCATTCCCATGAATGATGAATGATCAATTATAAACCAGGAATCTGAACAACTATGGAGAACTGAAAAGTGGACTTACTAACTTTAAAACTCAAGTTGGGCCTCCCTGGTGGCGCAAGGGGTTAAGCACCATGCTATGAAGCAATATGCAGCCTCTGCAGCACCAATTCAACTCCCAGGAGAAACCTACATGGTGCAGCAGACCTCTCCTGTCTCGCCCACTGCTCCCCTCAGCAGTGTATTTCAGTCAGTCTGCCTATTCTGTTCCCCATTCTGTCTCTGGTGAATCCTCTCACCCCTTGCATCTCTGGCCTGTATCCCAGCTGTATCCCAGCTCTTGTATGCATAAATAAATCTTAAAAAAAAAAAACCACATCACTATTATAGCTGGCAAATATTTTATGGGTTGTGGGAATTAAATTAACTAATGTAAGAAATTTTATATAGTGTGAGATATAAGTACAAAACACTAGAGCTTAACTATATGAAAGGAAATGGTACAAATGGTTTTTGCAAAGGTACTTAATTTTTTTTAAAAAATATGATATTCAGGAAAAACTTCCAAAAACACTCCCAAACCAATACTCTGAAGTACTATGTGATCACACTCACCACATACCAAACAATTTGGATATTATCATTTCTTAAACATATTTTAGAAAGGGCTCCTTTATCATTCTATAGATATATCATTAACAGAATGATAGTGGTGATTATTTAGATAATGCTTATACACTTGGAAACAGGAAAAGATGATGACTTATAGAAGATATTTCTTAGACTCCTTCTATCATAAAAATAATGTCATTTGTCTCTCTAACTAGCCTTAGGCAGATATGATTAATATGATTAATCAAAAAGTGATTAATGTTTTTATAATACTTCAAGGATAAGGGATGGTCACTAAAAACTGTCAAGGAATTTTTGGTCTGTTATTAAAACTACACTATCTAAATGTGCAATGTACACATAGTCAATTTTCTCTCTCTTGGAATCTACTATAGAACATGTATTAGACATGAATACTAAAAACATAAATGCTGTAATTTATGAGTCATTAGGAATTTTTGATAACTCCCTATATATATGGTATATAGTTTAACAAAAATGTTATTAGTGAATAAAAGAACAACACTATAATTTTCTTTTTTTTTTTTACGATTTATCCATCTAAGCATACAAGAGCTGGGGTTCAGGCCAGGGGCTGGGGGGTGGTGAGAGGATTCTCCAGAGACAGTGCAGAACAGAACAGGCAGATCGACGGAAGTACACTGCTGAAGGGAGCAGCGGGTGAGACAGGAGTGGTCTGCTGTGCCATGTGGATTTCTCCCTGGCAGGCTGGGGGATCGAACTCGTACTGCAGAGGTTGCAGACAGCTTCATAGGTGTGTCTGAACCCTTTGGGCCACCACCAGGGAGGCCCCAACACTATACTTTTCATTCGTGATTCCACAGCATCATTCAGTTTCTAAACCTCAATATTTGTGACTATGGCTAAAGTGGCTTAAATATTAGCTTTGTGATAAACACATTTTCAGTGGGGTGAGATGATCCTTTATTTTTCTCAATATAATATTAATTAAATGTAACATGAAAAATTAATAATGCGGGCGGGCCTCCCTGGTGGCACAGTGTGTTGAGCAACTAGCTGTGAAGCTGTCCGCAGCCTCTGCAGTGCCAGTTCGATCCCCGCCAGCTGGCGAGAATCCCACATGGTGTGGCGGACCTCTCCTGTAGCGCCCACTGCTCCCCTAAACAGTGTGTTTCTGTTGTCTGCCTTTACTGCTCCCCACTCTGTCTCTGGTGGATCCTTTCATCCTCCTGCACCTCTGGCCTGTACCACAGCTCTTGAATAAAAATAAAAATCTTTATATATATATATATATATATATATATATATATATATATATAAAATTAATAATGGGGATAGAAACACCATCTGACAGATAATACTAAACTAATGGTGATAAAATTAATTTTAACACATTCTATGTATGCTATTGAATCTATACGCATTCAATAGCATATAGCATATTCTCTATTCAGATAATGGAGTACTTTTACTGCAAAAAAGAAATACTCGGAACAGTATTTGGTAAGAAATCATCAATATAGCTCAATGGATTAAATTGTCTTATGTGAAAAGCTTTGAATTTCTACTACTTGTTTAACTCATAGCAGAAAAAAAGGATTTAAGTCTTCCTAATATTTCAAAAGTTAAATGGTCACCAAAAATTAAGCCAAATTTCTTTAAACTGTAGTAGAGGTCAGTGTTTGGTGTTCAATAATAGATTCTTATCACAAGAAATCAGTACTACTCAGGAAATAGAATAAAGCTATTAATAGTATTTTACCTATGGCCAAGGTGAAATTTTCTTTAAAAAAAAAAAAAAACATTTATTTATTTATGCACACAAGAGCTAGGATACAGGCCAGAGGTGCAGGGGGTGAAGGGATTCACCCGACACAGATTGAGGAACAGAACAGGCAGTTTCATCAAAGTACACTGCTGAGGGGAGCAGTGGGAGAGTCAGGAGAGGTCTGCTGCACCATGTGGGTTTCTCCCTGGCTGGCCAGGAATTGTACTCATGCTGCAGTGGCTGCAGATAGCTTTATAGGTTGCATCTTAACCCTTGTGCCACCAGGTAGGCCCCCAAGGTGAAATTTTCTGTAACCCAATAAAGGTGCATATAAAGTAGGTATTGAGGTGGATATAAAGTACAGGGAGATATAATTAAGTTTGGCAATGTTCAACTGTAGCACTACTTTTAAGTTCTACAAGTCAATGTTTTATTCTCAGAACTACCCATGCAAAGTTAAGGTGCCCTTACAGAAGAAAACTTTTGCTGTTTTAGAAAGTTAAGTCTTACATGATGGTTAATGACTCTTCTCAACTCTTCATTAGTCCTGGTGAAGAAATCTGGATATGAACACAAGGGGAGTTCTGATAAAGAAGGATGTTCCCTGAAAAGAACACAAAAAGAAAAGATTCAATATTAGGCATCGATATTCATCTTCTCAGGGGCATATAGATTCACAAGTCATAAAACATTATTAAGCATTTTGATTCTACATTTTTAACATAAAGTGCTTACTCTGTGTACATTATTATATATGTTTCTGTAAACTATCATTACATCTTATCAGATGAGAACAAGAAAATAAAAATAAGGCAATCTTCCAGGAAATAATACAGCTTGTCAGTGACCAATGAGAATTTTAGGAGATAAATGGCTGAGGGAAGCCTGGAGCAGGTATACCCAAGGGGAAGATACAAGTGATCTCCTTACACAGCTTTATGACCCTGAAAGTCCTGGTGAAAGTCTAGACCTAAGAATTTGATCAAAAATACACAAAAATGCTGTGACTTCAATATTTCTCCACATCTTTGTGTTACTAAGGAGTTTGGAACTATGGAAGCCAGTTTAGCAACAGCTCAATAGAAATACTGGCAGTACAAAACTGGGATCTAAACTAGTAGAAATTTAGTGCTAAACTTTATTAAAGTTATGAAGAAATTATTGTTATTCCATAAACATGTTAAGCAATAAAGTGGTGGTAAAGAATAAGAGTCGAAGGGGAGAAAGTGGTTTTAAAGGGAAAAAAAAAAAAAACCTCTTAGACAAGATCCTAAGAAAGACATAGCTGATGAAAATTTTCCTTACTCAAAAAGTTCTGATTAAGTTTTAAGACTATAAAGTCTAACATGTTAAAACAAAGCATTTACTCTTTTTCATGTCACATTTCAGTGAGCCTTACATTTTTGAAACCCTATTCTTCCCTCAAATCATCAGGTCCTCTTCTTTATGCTGCACTAAAATCATTCTCAAGAGTTTCCATTATTTCACATCTACTATCACTTCCTTAGTCGAAACCTCCATCTCTTCTGTACTAATGTTTCTCTGGAATCCTTGCATTCACCATGCTTTACCTTTTTTTTTTTTTTTTGTATCTACACAGGAGCCAAAATTCCCTTTTTCAAAATACAAGTGGATCGTGTCAATCCCTCACTACAAACTGCTCAATAGTTTCCATTAACTTTAGAATTAAGATTACATCCATTATGGAAGACTTGGGTAGAGTATGAATTTTGTTAAAGTAGCTTTGCCTGGTTTCTCCAGAATTATTTCTCACTATTTTTGGCCTAAATCTCTGCACCTGTGCTTTTTTGCAGTTGATATAACTTGCTCCATTCAACTATTGTTCATTTGCACATGATTTCAGCCCTTTCTCTAATATTCTCCTTGCCCCCTTATCTATTTAAGGCTGATAAATGTCTACTACTCCAGCACACAGTTCAAGCCCACTACCAGTGTTTCTTCATCATACCTACCTATGTGAGTTTTTTTCTTGATTACAAAAACAACATGACTATGGAGACATTTGTTTCCTTATCATTCTTTTCAGAGTCCAATTTAGTGCTATTGGTCATTTGGAGAATGCTTTTATGTTGGTGAAATATTGAGTAAATAATTAAAAAGTATGATATATTGATTCATTTATATTCCAGGTCAGCAATGACAGTGCAGCAAGAGGATGGCAATTCCAGGAGACAAGTTACAAAATGGAGCTAGTAGAAAAAATTCAAAAGAAAATAACATTGGTGTCAGGGGACAAGAAAAAGTATATGGAACTGGGCTTCCCCAGTAGTGCATGGGTGAGCACTGGGTTGCAAAGCTGCCCGCAGCCTCTGCAGCACCGGTTCGATCACCTGCCACTGGGTGAGGGTCCCACATGGTGCGCATGGCACGCAGACCTCTCCTGCCGCCCGCTGCTCCCCTCAGCAGTGCACTTCGTCAGTCTGCCTGCTCTGCTCTCCTCTCTGGCTCTGGTGAATTCTCTCATCCTCCCACGCTTCTGACTGTACCCAGTGCTTGCATAAATAAATAAATAAATAAATCATTAAAAAATATATGGAGCCCTTTCCCAACCCATAAGATCCAGCAGAAGAGTAAGAAACTTCCCATTGCTTGTGAAATAAGGACTCTAACTATTCTATCAAAACATTAAAGGAAAATATAATTCTAGAATGTTGGGGAATTTGGGAACATCGGGGTTGCAACATGTGGCTTAACTATTCATGCAACAAAATTCGAACACTTCTGATATTCCAAGAATGGCACTAAATGCTATGAAAAGATAAAGAAGAAAGAATTCATAAATTATTTGAAGGTTAAAGGTATTCAAACATGTTGCAGTGACTCCTTCAATTATAAAGAATACATAAAATATAAAAATTTTAGAAATCTTCAAAAATGGAAGATTAGATGGACATTCGTATGTATGCTATTTTTAGTTTTATCAGTGGAATTTTTTTTAAAGATTTATTCTTATTTATGCATTCAAGAACTGGGGTGCAGGCCAGATGTGTGGAAGGGTGAGAGGATTCACCAGAAACAGAGTGGGGAGCGGAAAAGGCAGATCTACTGAAATACACTGCTGATGGGAGCAGCAGGTGAGACAGGAGAGGTCTGTTGAGCCATGTGGATTAGCTCCCTGCTGGGGATTGAACTTACACTGCAGTGACTGGCAATACTTGACAACACTGAGACTTTAACCCCTGCACCACAAGGGAGGTCCCTCAGTGGAATATTTTATACTAGAAAAGAAAAATGCATAGAAAAACTTAATAAAAGAGAATATGAAATGAGAGAGGCAAACATTCAATAATGTAAGCATTATTGCATTAAGGTTAGGCACATGAGGTCTGTACCCAGATCTTGAAGCAAATTTTTGTTGTGCCACTTAGTATTATTAAATCCTTTTATTCCTTGGTCTCTTAATTTGTAATATAAAAATAGTATTTCCTACATTGGTATGCTTTATAAACATTGTAAAGGGATAGAAAAAATGTTTGATGGAACAAACACTAAACAATTTCAGCTGTATTATCTTTATCACCAGCAGTATCAAAATTCAGAAGAAGCAGCCATGACTTTTAGCTGGAATTAACAAAGAAGAAAAACAGTAAGGAAAAAAAAAAAGGAATGGAAGACAAAACAATTATGATAAGACTTACTTAGTGAGACATAGAATTTTATGTTTGGGATTAAATATGAAGTGGAGAAAATCTTGTTCAAGATGGTATATAATTCTCCTAAGGAAGCCATACAAATTATCACAAATTTGTAGGCTTAGGAGACAAACTCTTGTCATTTGTGGCAGTATGGATGTAGCTGGAGGGGATTAGTGTAAGGGAAATAAATCAGGAGAAGAACAAATACTGATGGTGTCACCATTTGTGGAATATAAAGGTACCAAACAAAAGATTGGATAAAGCAAACTGACATTAAACCCTAGAAAGCTGACTTATAAAGCTGAAGCTACAAGAAAGGGAGTGGGAAGACTGAAAACAAAAGGGAAATATAAGAAACTGATTTTTTTTTCTCTTTTCTACTTTTGAGTGACAAAATGGTCTTTTAAAGTTCATTTTTGAGTACCATCTGGTACCCTTAAATGTATAGATTTATCTTTAGCTCTTCAATTGAAATATACTTTCATTGATAAATAGCACCATTTTCTGTTCTTTGTTGTTTTATTTTTCTTCCCAGAATCCCTCTTACTCTAATAGACTTCTATAACTATGCTTTCATTTTATTATCTTCTTGTTCTATTTTATTATTCTTTATCTTTATTCCACTTTCTAAGGAACTCTTCAACTTTATCTTCCAAACCTTCTGTTGAAATTTTAGCTTCCACTATTGTTTTAAAATCCCAAGAACTCTTCCCTATTCTAACACTATTTTTTATAACCTCCCCTTTTTCATGGATGAAAAATTTTCCATTTATTTCTCAGAAGGTAACTATTATAGATTTTTTAAACTCATGCCCTTCTATACAATTTTCATGTCTTCTGAGTTACTATCATATTTAATTTATTTGGATTCCTGTCTATTTTGTCTTTTTTCAAATATACAGTGAATCTTGTATTTTTACTCATTTCAAACACATTATTTAGGTACAATTTAAAATAAACTGCACATGTTTGATGTATAATTTGTTATATATCATATATAAAGCACATATATATATACACACATGCATATGTGTGTGCTTATATATAAATCTTTATCTAAAACCATCATTAAAATCAAGAGAATGAACAGTATCATTATTCCTCAAATTTCATTCTTTTCTTTTTCTCAATTTATAACAAAAATAGAAAAAAAAGTTGTTGGGGCTTGTGGAATAATGGTTCACAACATGGAATGATTTGGTAGTAGTTATATTTGCTATAAATTATTATTGTATAACAAATTACCCTAAAATTAGCAACTTAAACAAAAAAAATCATCATATCTGTTTTTCTGTATGAGAAAATTGGGCATGGACTTTGGCTCATGGTCTCTCACAACATAGAAGTTCTAATGTTAGCAAAGGTTGCAACCAATTGAAATCTCAGCTGAAACATGACTATTGGCAAGCCGAAGTTCATGCTAGGTGTGGTCAGAAGCATCACTTTCTTATTACTCAAGCCTCTTCCTAGGGAAATATGGCAGTTGATTCCCTCACATTGAGTGAGAGAGAGAGAGAGTCCCCAAGGTAGATTCAACTGTCTTTTTATAAACTAATCTTAAAAGTATATAACTGTTCATGTTGATTTCTTAATATCTTTTGTATTTCTGTCACAGTTATTTTAATGTCTCTATTTTCTTATGAATTTATTTTTCCTCATGTCTGCCAAATTCTGTTATATGTGAATCACCAAGTCCACCCCATATACAAAGAGAAGGGATTGCACAAGGTTATGAATATCAAGAAGCTGGGACCACTGGAGGTCATCTGTGAGGTGCCTAGCTGAGAAATTAAGCCATTTTCTTGTGGAACCCCGGATACTAGTATACATTGGTCTTTTCTTATGTGCCATACAGATACATCAGACAATCTCCTGCCTAAGATGTGGTACTCTGATCTCCAGGGAAAGGTGGAAAGGGGGGAAGTGTAAGTGATAGAGACAAAAATTA